CGGCTGAGGATCGCTGCTGCAGGATTGTGTGTGGGTTGGGTATTCCCGGCCGTCACTCAGCTCATCCGTTCTGCCCTCTGTTCATCTAGATACTTGCTTTTGGTTCTCATGGATGCTGAGAGAGCCTGGAGCTATGCCATGCAGCTCAAACAGGAAGCCAACACTGAGCCCCGAAAACGGTTTCACTTGCTGTCTCGCCTCCGCAAAGCTGTGAAGCATGCAGAGGAGTTGGAACGCTTGTGTGAGAGCCATCGGGTGGATGCCAAGACCAAGCTAGAGGCTCAGGCTAGTGTCTTAACCTCAAGCTTTGCTTCAGTGGAGATTAGAGAACAGGACGTAAAAAAACAACTAGGGAAACCACAGTTTAACAGAACTGTGTCTTATGTTGTAAATTGATAGGAGAAGGAAAAAACCAACTTCAGACCTTCCTCTTAAAAGGTGAAGTTGATGCCCCTTGTTTTTGAGTCTTTGATTTTTAATTACTGTAGCTTTTCAAGAAAGGCCATGCATCTTTTCAGATGTGGACGGGAAAACTTGCATCTTATACTTGGGGAAGTCCACAAAATCAGAATTTATTTTAGTGATTTCAAAAAAAAAAGATGGGTATTGCAAGTTTATGTTCAACTGTTGATTTTCAAGTTATAGTCAAGTAAGTAAAATGAAGAAAAGAAATTCTCTTTGTTTTAAAGTTCTCTCCTGGAAAGTAAACTTGAGTCACAACAAATTACCTGTGTATCACATTTTATTGGTTAACTTAGTTTGGTCTTTAACAGTCAACCTGGATGTGGCTACATTCTTGACAGCAGAGTTAGGAGCAAGTAGAAGAGAGCGAGCCCAGGGCTCGTCCTAATTCTAAAGCCGCTTCTCTCTTCTCCGTCACCTTATAGGCGTACACGGCGTACCTCGCAGGAATGCTGCGTTTTGAACATCAGGAATGGAAAGCTGCTATTGAAGCTTTTAACAAATGCAAGTAAGTGCCCCTGTCCACAGCTGTAACGAGTTTGATGATTGGTCATCAGATTCAAGCTGCAGAAAAGCTAATGGCTCATTTCTCTGAAAGTTCGGTTAATTACTTTTATTTATTTATCTTCCCCCAGAGTCATGTTGATTCTTCATCCTTAGGGCATGCTGTCTCAGGTCTCTAGTGCCACTATAACAGGAATCCCACTAGTGGTGGCACGTAAATTTATGTTTTCATATTTTTAGGAGGCTGGAAGTCCAGATTCAGGGTGCCGGCTCTAGGGGAGGGCGCTCCCTCTCTGTTGACTCTGGGGGAAGGTCCTTGTTCCTTGGTTCCTTGGTTCCTTCATGTGTGGCATCTGTCTTCCCATCTCTGCTTGCTCACTTGCTTGGTTAATCTCCTTATATCTCGAAAAGAAACTGATTTAAGACACACCCTCCTCTAATGCTGTCTCATTAATATAACCCAGAAAACCCATTCCCAAATGAGGTTATAACCACAGGTATAGAGGTTAGGATTTACAGTACATCTTTTGAGTGGGTTCTCAGGTCAAGCCATAATGCGTGCCAATTCTGGTAGTTGATGCAAGAGCTTCATAGGACTGTTTCAGCCGCTGTCCCTTGTGAGTACGTTTTTTAAAAACGAGGCTGTTGTGAAACTTGATGTTTCTTTACTCACAGAACCATCTACGAGAAGCTGGCCAGTGCGTTCACCGAAGAGCAGGCCGTGCTGTACAATCAGCGTGTGGAGGAGATTTCCCCCAACATCCGCTACTGTGCTTACAACATTGGTGAGCGGGGACCCAGGCTCCCACTCCACTGGGGCATTGGCCTGTGGCTTGGCACAAGCTGGCACAATTTATTTAACTTCCCTGTGCTTCCCTTGCATCTGCCCTTGGCAGGGGTTTGTAGTGACTAAGGGGTGACTGTCAAACACAGCCCTGCTCTGAGTTACAGTTGCCGTTGCTTTGCGTCCATCCCTCCCTGCCGTTATCTGTACTTCCCAGGAGCAGTCTCTCTGCTCTCCGGTCAAATTCCTTCTCAGTGAAAGGGCCTGTCTTCAGGACTAAATCATTTACACGCACTGTTGGAGGGGGACAAGCTCCATTAAGTCTCAGTTGAATGTTGTGGTTCTCGAGAGATCAGACTTTGAAGAGCGCTCGCTTGCTCTCTCGCTCTCTCTCTCTCTCTCTCTCTCTCTCTCTCTCTGTGTCTCTCAGGGGACCAGTCAGCCATCAATGAACTGATGCAGATGAGATTGAGATCTGGGGGTACTGAGGGTCTCCTGGCGGAAAAATTGGAGGTAATCTAGTGTTTCCTTTTTTGTGACAGTTCTTTTACTGTGTTTTGAAAATGTCCTGAGAGGTAGGTAATTCATAACCCTGTCATCCGGTGATAGTTGCTGTTAATAAATGCATTTATAACTATGTTTTTAACAAAATATTTTTTGTCACTTAATATTCTTAAGTATTCAACTTTTTGTACCTCATTACATTTGTTTTTCTAAGCAGTAATATAGGCTCATTTTAGAAAAAGTAGGAAGCACAGAAAATTGGTAGAAAAATCATGTGCTGGCCTGCCTTCTGGAGGTCTCACTGTCACTGATGGGATGAATATCTGGCAGACTTGTCTGTGGCTAGAATAAAGGCGTCTTTAAAGTATTTCAGGTTATGATGTTAAGTAACCTGGTTTGTGATTTTAGTATCACGTATTGTTTCCATTTCGGTAAATGTGTATTTCCACACCATTGTCTTCTGCGGCTGTGGAAGAGCCCTCTGTTGTACAGTCTGTTCTGTTTAACCATTTAAGTACTTCACTGTTGCTGATTGCTTCAGTGGTAAAGCGAGTTCCACGAGCATCCTGGTTCCCCATTCTTACTTACTTTCTTAGGGAAATTTCTGAAGTGGGGCCATATGTTTTGGAGATTTTTTCCACATGTTGACAAATGCCTTTAAGTAAGTTTCCACTCATTTACATCTTTACTGGGAGTACACAGAAGTACTTCCTCCTCACACCCTTGCCTGAACTTGACATGGCTCTTTTTACCCTTCCATTGTGCTTTTAGCACTTGAGTTTCCATAAGCTAAGATCCATGATGCAAAGGAAGCATTAAAGACGTTTGTGTACACCCTAGTCTATAATGGATAATGTGTTGGTTATAGAAAACAAAGGGGCAGTACATATGTATGTATGTGTGTATACGTAAGTGTGTGCAGAGGTACAGTGAACCTTTAGAGGGCCAGAACCCAGTGGGACTGCCTTTTTTTTTT